ATATATTTCAAAGTTATAAATCTTCATTGTATGATATCAAGTTTTAAAATTTAATGATAATATCAAAATTACACAATGTCAATCGATTAAATAAGTAATTTTATTTATACTTTTTTCTGTCATAAAATCATTTAATTTGATTAGTTTGATAATGGTGAATGAAACAAAGCAAAGATGTAACTTGTAGTAAGAAACAAATTTCAAGAACCTATACTCCTACTTATTCAGAATAAGAAAGGTTCTGGTCAGTGACTGGGTTTTTTTGGTGGCTTGTCGATTACCGTCTACTACTGCGATTAGGTGCTTCTCCCTTCTCCCAACAATGCTGGCACACAAGGAAAATCATTGAGATGAAGCCACATCTATGTGTACAATTCGGCAATCTGGTATCTTTCTTATTCTGAATAGAGCATTAATAAACACTAGGCTATTTTTAGGATACTAACAAAACAATTTATTTTTTTAGTTGTTTCATGTTAGATTTGTGTGTATGTTTTGAAGACTTGTATTCATAGGTCTAGAATGTAATTCCATCTTAAGGCTTTAACTTTATCCTCATAKAATTCACTGAAGTCTTTAATACTGAATTTTTACTTAATATGTATTACAACTTTTAAGAGTATTAGTATTTTCATTAAACATGAATTTATAATACAAACTACAATAGTTCAGAAACTATTTTTAAAGTAGGTATTATTCCATGAACTGTGAATTTTAAATTTAAGTAACTGTTTTTGAAAAAGGAGCTGGTGCCGTGACTTGCTAGGAAACTAATATAAAAAAAAAAAAATCAGTTTATATAAATATAGCTAGTTTTATACAACTTCCAGTCAAGTGCCATTAGTGGATGGCTTCTTACTCATGTACTCATGTATTATTGTAACTCTTATCAAATATGCTAATTGTGCATAATTGTACAGATTGTATATATTATTGTGTAAAAAAAGCAACTAATTATTTTAAATTTTTTTGATAAAATTCAATGAAAATAATTTATTTTCGGTTGATTTAGAAATATTAAACCAGGAAAGTAATAATTAGTTTCATCTTAACTGAAATAGTAGTAGGAATTACAGTAGTCCACAATMACATAATTTAACTGTTCTAACTTAATTAGCTTTAGAGATSAATGATACTAAAATAGATATATGCTCAGACTCGCTTAATGCTTATCTAATATGCAATCTAAAATACTATAGGTGCTTTTTGCTCTAAACATTAGTAACATCAAATATTCTGTTGAACTCTGGCCGAAATRCAATAGGAAAAAAAAGAAGCAATTCTCAATTACTCAGCACTCTACAAAGAATTGGCCTAATGGAAGACAGATTCATCCTTATGCTCAACGAACACATCATCATCTACTGGCCAAACTTCAACAGRGCTATTAATGAATTTCAGAAATTCATGTGAAGCAATTAGTCTATTTTCAATCCATCTCAACATAATTTCTTATAYATAAAAAAAARAATGAAAAGTACATTATACCTATATAATAAGAAAATGTAATATTTATGTAAGCTAATAATCATTATAGTTGATGCTAAAAATAATATTTAAAATAATAATTTTCAAACATTAAATAATGATTTATTTTAAACTAAAATTGTTAAAACATGAGATTGTATGATGTTAACCTATACATTTAATATAGTAATTTATAATTTTTTATGCAATTTAAAAATATGATAATTTCAAGGACAACAAATAAAATTTAATAAAATTATTACTAGCTAACACTTTCATTACTCTTGGTCTTCTGATTTTTTCTTCTCTTGTTGTTTGATGCGATAATCAGATAATGCTGCCTTAATAGCATCTTCAGCCAACACTATAAAATCAAAATTAATACATTTTTAAGATATCAAAAGTAATCATTACAAAAATAAAATTGGTATAATGGTAGGTAAAGAATTAATAGATATAAATCTTTATATTAATACTCTATAGAGTAAAGAATTAATAGATATAAATCCAATATTATAAATTTTAATTTTTCTAAATTATTGTTATTAAATATTTCAAAAATTACTTGAACAGTGAAGCTTCACTGGAGGCAAAGAGAGTTCTTTAGCGATTACCGTGTTCTTTAAGGAAAGTGCTTCATCAACCTTAAAATACATTAAGTATTTAAATAAATATATATTTAAATAGGTATGTATAATATATAATACAATAAATATAAAAATAAACTAACAGTTTTTCCCATAACCCATTCTGTAGCTAGTGAACTAGAAGCAATAGCAGATCCACAACCAAAAGTTTTAAACTTGGCATCAACAATTCTACCATTATCATCTACTTTAATCTGTAACTTCATGACATCACCACATGCTGGTGCGCCGACCAATCCAGTTCCAACATTCTTGTCATTTTTATTCAACGATCCAACATTACGGGGATTTTCATAATGATCTATCACCTGTAACCAATTTTAATTAATATGAATACCATGAAATATAATTTTGTGACATCAAATATTATTTAAATMKGACGACTGATGGATAATACTAAACCAGAAATGAGGAATTTKTATTTAACCTGAGAAGTTAATTTAATTTAATTTGAATGATATTATTTTATTCTGCTTAAGTATACATAATAATTACGGCTAGGATTTATATGC